ATGATTAGCTTAAAACATTAATAAATTTAAGTACAAAAGTGTAATATAGAACATGTTCAGAGACCATGAAATGACCTTGACCTAACAATTTATAGTATCTGAATCTTATAAGACATTGGATCTCCTGCCTAAGTAATGACTAACTGACTAGCTGTATGACTGAATCAGAATACCAAGATACCATGTACTGCAGACAGAAAAACCTCAGTAACTAGACGGCAAAATGTCTGATTTCTGTCTAGAACTTTTACACCCATTAGCAGGCACTGATGAAGATACTGTTTCTAGTGTAACTTCTAGACTCTACACTAAGGTATCTCTATACTATAGCATTTGGCATTGCACTTGTTGAACACAGAGTTTGTATAATGAGAGATAATCTCAGACAACTCTTTAGAAAACCAAGCAACATGTCACTGTACTTCTGTTGATACTGTAAGATGAAGGTCGAATACTGATCAGACCTGTTGCCGTGGCTATGATAAGGAGAATGCTCACCACATCATAGACAAGTTAACAGACTCTAACAAGGCAGATATGACCTAAGTATACACTGGAGTAAAGGAACAAAAGATACATTTACTGGAATCTAAATGCAATAAAATGATTTACTACACTTGCTGCAAACCTTAGGTTTGCGAATTATTCAAATTGAGGTAACAAAAACCACTGGATTTCTTTATTTCATAAATCATAAAAATATCTGAAGTAAAAAATCCCATCTGATTCATCACACCTCAGTACTGTCTGATTCTAAGGAGCAGCCTGTAAAAAACATCATACAAACATCCCGCTATAATTTGTCAAACACCATTTACAAAGTAAGGGTTCAAATTCAACATTTTAACTACATTCAAAACATTAAAATACTTTTGAAATGTGCAACCAACTTATCACATTCAAATTAGGGTGTATTTAAATCGGCAAAATAAAGACATGTCTTGATTTCCTAGCTATTAAAGAAGTTAAGATATCAAAGCACAGTTCTAGCATTAAAATCCATATCTTAGACATTGTTGAAGGGGATGACAGTCAAAATTAAACTATTCAGAAAAAAATTTATTTGTTTTTTAGAAACTGCATCGAGTGCAATCAGATGGCTACTAATGGTCTCCATTTCTATCCGTGCTTGGTGTTTTAACCAATGTTAGAATGTCTACAAAAGATTGAATTTTAAAGATTGGCAAGACTAGAACTAAGTACTACCTGACATTCGCCATACCTATAGCATTACATTAACTATTAACATAACTTAAACTAAAACAGGTATAACGAGACATTGAAACTTTTCTAACATTGATGGTGAAGTATTCCAAAATCTTAATAGTGCATATCATAGTGTAAACTTGAAAATAATCAATTGTTTTAAATATCTTACTTAATATCTAATCGGACCTGAATTTTTATTGAATCTGAGTGTCTGGGATTTATTAAACAAGGTTTAAATTCCATTAATTATAAATACAAAATATACAATATACATCTTTTCAAAAAAGAGTTATAAGCAACTACACCTCACTTTAGTTTAAAACTTCATTCATTTCACAGAAAACTTTTCCTTCAAAGAAAAACAAAATTTACCTCCAACAAATTCGACAAGTTGCCAAAACTGCGGAACATTGCAGGCAACCTTACTGTTGTCTCGGTCATTGTTATCCCGTAGATGTAAATAAAACTGCAGAAAGACTAAACCCCACCAAGGAATTCCCTATAAAACAACACCACCTGGCCACCGCCTGACTGGGTATTGTTTCAGAGAACCCCCAAACTGATGTGTGTGTTTGGACAATGATCCAATAATAAAGAGGTCATGATGAAGTGCCAATGAAAGGAAAAGCTCACAAAATTCCCATCCTGACATTTATGGACTACTAAATACTTTGTGAAAAAAGTTTATAAAATTATGTTGAGCACTATACAATCTTTACAATTTTTACTTAACATTCATGTCTCACTCTGCCTGTACAGGTACCGTGCTAAAGTGGTATCTATTTCAATCAAAAAAACATTGAAACTACAATTTACAAGTATAAGTCAATCTCTATAGTAAAGAGCTATAGGCGATGAGGATATTTTAATCTCTACAATAGAGACTATTGGATATACATGCAGGTATAATTTAATTCTCTACATTACAGACAATACATTGAAGTCTAATTCAATCTTTCTATAAAAGATACAATATTGTGAGTATGAAAATACACTCAGTCTCTAGTGAGTAACATTCAGTGACACCTATTGAGTATATTGGTCTCCTCCTGTCACTCTGAGAAATCACACATAGAAAGGATCTCCACTAAATAGACAGATGAGCCTCAGTTTACTTCTCTATCAGCTCCGTCTTCCTAATACTAACAATGGCTGTACAGGTAAGAGCCTATGACATAAATCATTGAATTACCTAATATTTAAGTTCCCCTTGTAATTCATTGACAGGCTAATCTTCCCATTAAATGTCCCAGAGTTTGTACGACCCATGTCCTCAGCATTGGAGGGTACTTCAGAGCCTTTATTGACTAAGTCCACAGGGAATTAGATTGTGTGTATTGACAATTATGTTTTTCTTGTAAATACATAGACAGCATTATTATTGTGTTAACAGTCTCCTGATTGAAATCTTGCAACACACACATTTTTTATACGACAGACTGATCTACATGACCCTGATAATCGGCAGTTCTAATATTAAGAGAGTCACTGTGCCCACTGTCTGATAATCGGCAGTTCTGATATTAAGAGAGTCAGCGTGCACAGGGTCACACTGCTAGCTACTCCAGAATTATCTCCCCTTAATACGGATTGTCTCCAGACTTAATAGATAGTTTAACTAGAGACAACATTAAAGAAAGCTAAGATGGGAATATATACCAAAGGAATACCGTTCTATTACAAGCCAAAAAAAACATAGGTAATCAAAGATTACGAAGCTCACCTCCACGAATGTTATCAGCTTAAGTAATGCAAATCTCACATCATATTTTTTTAATATAGAGTATTTATCCTGACAGTTATATTTGTACAAATTCTGTTTAAATAGATCTTAAAGTTCATTGGGGGATTGACCTATTCCAAAAACTTTAACCTGGTCACTCATTTGGAAAATGTAGATCAGATCTAGCATCAGAAACAAGTCTCGATTGTCCATCCTCAGATGCATCATCCATACCAGTTTGGTCCAGGTAGGGCTAATAGTTTCTTGGGAGTCACTCATCTGGAAAATGTACGTCAGACCCAGCATCCTAAGCAAGTCTGCTAGTGTCCATCCCTAGATGCATCATCCATTCACGTTTGGTTCAGGTAGGGCTTATAGTTACTTGGGAATGGACCTGCTCCAAAAACTTTAACCTGGTCACTTATCTGAAAAAAAGTAGGTCAGATCCAGCATCCGAAGCAAGTCTGGTAGTGTCCATCCCTAAATGCATCATCTGTGCAAGTTTGGTTCAGATAGAGCTTATAGTTACTCGGGTTTAGACCTGCTCCCAAAACTTTAACCTGGTCAGTCATCTGGAAAAAAGTAGGTCAGATCCAGCATCTGAAGCAAGTCTGGTAGTTTCCATCCCTAGATGCATCATCCTTGCAAGTTTGGCTCAGGTAGGCTTTTAGTTACTTGGGAATGGACCTGCTCCAAAAACTTTAACCTGGTCACTCATCTGGAAAATGAAGGTCAGATCCAGTGTCCGAAGCAAGTTTGCTAGTGTCCATCCCTAGATGCACCATCCATGCAAGTTTGGTCCAGGTAGGGCTTTTAGTAACTTGGGAATGGACTTGCTCCTAAAACTTTAACCTAGGACACTGACGCTAACGCCGACGCCAATGCCGGGGGTATAACATAAGCTTATCTCGACTTCGTAAAGGTGAGCTAAAAAGCCACTGCAGGCTATATCTTTATCAAACTTAAGCAGTTAGTTTACAGCATATATTCCAAATAAGTAACAAGTACTTTAGTCATTACTAGAAGGAAAAATTCTTCACCTAGATGAAAAATGAAGTGTTTGAATTGAAATGTTTGCCTGAGTCAGCAAATACCAATTGGTGCTTGCTGCAGAAGCTGACAATTTCACAGATTATTATCAAATATACTAAATGAAGCTTGCTCTAGAATGCTAAATATTACGTATAGAAATAAAACCCTTGTAGTATTTTGATATCTGACAAAAAACATATACATATAAACTATACTCCAAATCAGGAAAAAAGTCAAACAACAAAGCCTAATTTGTGTGTATGTATCCAAATTTGTAATTGCCATGGCAGATTAATGTACATTGTTCCAGCTATGAACTCTGTTAACTTGGCCAGACTTACCACCATACTCAACAACAAATGACATTTGACCATGGATTATAATGTTTTTTCACCAACAGCGATGTAAAAAAACATGTAAAACTTCTAGTTTCCAAATAACAATTCTCACCAACCTGCCTCAGTCGAGAACACAATTGTGAAAACCAATTAACTTCTGTGTAAAGATAATCAAATTCGGCATTAAAAAGTCTGCGGATCAAAGCTATCAAATAATCACATTCAAATTAACAACCCCTCGACCTTACAATGCTACTTATCTTTACAATTATATGTCCATAACTTCCAAAGTTTGGAGACCAAGGATCAAAGGAATAATGGCTATCTCATCTTATCAGAGGATAAAAACCTACAACTCTAGTAGGGCCTTGCACAAAATTTAATGAACTTATTTAAAACAAACTTGTCATTTTGGTGTTATCTGCACACAGAAAAGGTAACTGAAGTGCCTGCCCTCCTTACTGGTGGAGACGAAAGTTTTCGTATACCAGTGATGCAAAACAATTAAATCTTTTTATTAAATCTGTAAAAGAGATTTGCCACAGTTCACACAACCTCAAAATCAGGTGGCACGTTTAAGAGATACTTAACAACTTTACTACCAAATAAAACATGCAATTTTATCTACCGAAAATACACAGTTGCTAATGTTAAATATTTAACACTAGGATACAGTGAAAAAAAGACTTCCTACTTACAATGCAGATGCTCCAGACACTTGCAATGATCATCTTTATTTTCAGCTTTCATATAATCCATTCATAATTGTATCTTCCTCACTTCATATTTTCTGCTCTGGGTAAACTTTATGAACTGTCTATGAAACCTTTTTTTGTGTTACAGTTTTTTTTCTCTGTCAATAGCAAGACTTTTTTGCAAATGTTTCTCATATCATACCTTGAATTACAATTAATTGCTCATGATATAAATGAAATACATTTTTGTCAGGATGAAGTGTTCAGCTACATTTGCTTAACGACATACATATATATTTATCAAGATGTATCCATGCAATGTTTATCATAGCCACTGCCAGGGAGAGAGCTTAGAATATTTCATCCATTCAAAAAATGACAACTTTTAATCTCTGCAATTCTGAAAACTTTCTTCAAATTTCCTGAACTTTGCTGTAACCTGGGGTTTAGCAATACATCTCTTTCACTTTTCTATCACTGCATCATTTTAACCACTATTCCAAATTCTTTCTGTCATCAATTAAACAAGTTTCCATTCATTTAAAAGTACATCTTCTTCAATAAAGGAATAAACAAAATTAAAATTATTACACTTCAATGACAAAATATTTAAAAAAGAAAAACAAGATTCCAGTAACTGTCACAATCAAAGGTCCATCAAAGATTTAATATGTCAATAACAAATAGAGGGTTTAAGTAGTCCAAAATGTAACTATTTTATACTATACATAAAGTGTGCAATATTGTAAAGTCTGTCAGAACAGTCAGCCAATCAGAGAGGAGATAACAACAGGTAGCTTACACGGCAGAAATTTGATAACAGTGTCAAAAAATTATGTTAAAGGGCCAGTGAAGGTATAACAAAACAATCGCAGTGCTCTCTGAAATACATGTACCTGGAGTTATTGCACCTGTATAAAACGTAACACTCACTGCAAAAAAAAAAAAAAAAAACTGCACTCAGTGCAAGTTTATGAGCAGCCCCAATGATCTGTAGACCTTTCCTGTTCAGTAATTATTGGGTGTTACCTTACCACTATAGCTTTATTCTTGTCTTTAATGCTTTATCTTAGTTCTTCTTTTCATAATCAAAGAAGACAAGAGTGTATGGTTTTATGAATCATTTTAGAGGGAAATGTGTATCTGTTGAAAACTTCTCTCACGACTGCATAATAAAACCATGTCGTAAATGCAGTTTTGAAATACTTAGCAAACTGAGATGTGAGTTCTATGATAAAAGAATTAAGTGATTATGCACTCATGAAACCCATTTAGTAAATATGCCTGATATTTCGAAATGAATTCTTATTCTTTTCCCAAACTTTCAGCCAAAGAATACACTACTGAAGGAAATTCTTATTATTACATAGTTTCATTATTGAGTGTAACAATTTACTTCATAATTTTCTTCAATTGTGAGAAGCTAATTACGTTATCAAGAACATGTAATAAATGGTTTGCCTTCTCAAAATGCCAGACATACAGACTAGCAGCGCTTGTCACACAACAGGGTATTGTACAGAGTAGATAATTTTCGTTCGTGTAACAAAGTATCAAATATGCAGCAGCAAATTCCACTTTTACCTTCAACTGGCAGAAAACCTTGACCTTCACCTCAAAGTAAATGTCACACAGTTCAATGTCAGATAATCAGCTATGTTAAGTAGTGGTCAGACAAATAAACAGTCGTAAAACAGCAAACTGACTAGACAATACCCAAAAACAATGCCCTTCTTCATTAATCACAGAGAAATACAAATTTTACAGCATGCAAAATTGAATTAGAATAAACTGTGTTGATCTATATATATTTACAATTTCTTGCTACAATTTTATTTTTTTTTTAAATCAAAAACATGATTCCATGATATGATTGCTAAACTTTATGAATCTGAAGGTTTTAATTAGTAACTTCATTATAACAACACATCTAACTGTCGGAAAATACCACCCCTATATAATTACACCGATAGTAACAGTTTCATGTGTCATATTTTTTAGGTAACTTTCAAAACCCTGTTATTTATCTCATCTTGCCTGCCATAATGTATTTCATATCTGACAACATTTCATTCTTCATTATGTTCACATAAAATGGTCGGTTACACAAACGATCAACTGTCCTTGAAGACACCCATTTTATGAATAAAGTTTGGTAATAATTAGCGAAATATTTTCCTAAAACATAGAATCAAAGTTATCTTTTCATCAACAGTCTTACACATGATTTCCTATTCCTTACAATTTGTACAGGGGCTGAACTGCCTACCTTTTTCCAGTTAAGAGCAGGTGCACAGTTTATTTGAAGTTTCAAGCCGACTACAATCTTTAATTTCAGCAGGACATGATCATTATTTGGAGGAAAATTGGAGGAAAAATAAGTTGTGAGTGATCCTCAATGAGCTCATCATCATAACAGACACCTGTAATTTTTTGATCAACAGCCTTTGACTTTTCAATTCAGCTGATATGTCCAGATTCATGCATGCAGCAAAGCAGCAGTATAATTTACTGCATATAAAACCAGTGGTGCTTGCAACAAAACTTACCTTAAGCATACCCTCCCTTTCCCCTATATTTTTCAATCTTTCTTCAAAGAACTTATATAAATGAAAATCTTCATTATAATAAAATAAATAAGATTAGTACTCAACGACCTTCACTTTTGACTCACCTTGTGAACAAAATTGATTAACAGTTCAAGAAATGTACATTGTATGCATGTACATTTGTAATATACATCCCATGTGACATTAAAATAAATAAAATGTTTCTTAATTTTGTTTGTAAAAGAATAAAAATAGAATTATACACAAAGAAAGATACAACATCTTTTATTTTTGTCCATGTAGTTGAAGATTTAGGGGTACAGTGTATTTAGTTTTTGCCCTGTCCGTTTGTCTGTCTCTGTGAAAGGCCCTGTCACACCAAGCTGCGTTCACATGGAGTCATTACGGCGTTGTTAAATTTTTAAAATCGCTGTGGAATCGCAGGAAAATTGCACAAATTTCTGTAAAATTTTCACAATATGAAGATGTCACGGCGTCCCTACGGCCACGGACGCGATTCTACGGAGATCTCACGGTGTTCTACTGCGTTCCCACGGAGATCTCTCGGCAATTGACTGCGCTTCCGCGGAGTTTTCACGGCGCGTTAGTAGTTTTCACCTCGTGTTCACGGCGTTCTCACTGCGCTGGCTGCGTTCACAATACGTTCACAATGCGCTCTAAACTCATTGATATATATTCAGAAGGAATGTAACACAACAACATGAAAATGTCAAGAAATATTCTTAATAATTGAAAATGTTCTATATTTAAATAATTTAGTACTAAATTATTAAGTTTTATGATTAAAATCCTTTTTTTTTATTTCATTGGTTCAGTTGTGTTGTTTGATTTTCTTAATTTTTTTATGAATGTACAAAAAATAAAAATACCGAAAAGTTTTCTACAAAATTTAAGTGAAACACAGAACAAGTTCTTGTATAATTTTCTCCTCCATTTTTTCACTTAAATGCTCCTAGTGCAATACGTTGGAATTATTGCTAATCAAATATGATCCCATTGCTCTTGTTTTGTGAGCTGGCTGACAACGCACTAACAACGCCGTGAAAGCGCATTGTGATCGCCAACGGACGCTGGAGAAACGCCGTGGGAGCACAATGATCGCAGTGACAACTCTGTGCTGTCGCCGAGTAATCGCAGTCGAAAAAATCATAAGACGACAAATCTCATTAGAAGCGCCGTAAAAACGCGATGGAAACGCAGTGACATCTCCAAGGACTTCGTGACATCTCCGTGAGGTCTCCGTGGAAGCGCAGTCTACTATCATTGCGTTCGTGCCACGATCATGTGCGTCTTCACGGCGTTCGTACGGAGCTCCCACTACGTTGTTGGAGATCTTAGCGCGCTGCTACGGCGATCATACTACGTTTCTACTGCGTTCTTATCAGACCGCGATCACACGGCGCGTACTTTGTGCATGCCCAAAGTGATCGCCGTCCCCTGGCGTTCTTGGAGACCCTACGCGACCCTACGGCGTTCAGTGGAGATCTCGCCGCGTTGTCACGGCGCTGTAGGAGATTCTACTGCGATCACCTCGGCGTTTTGCATTTTTTGAGGACGCCGTGCAGTCGCCGTGAGGACGCAGCCCTGGTGTGACAGGGGTTTTAGCTGTTAATCTGTTTTGTCTATTTGTCCGCAAGTTTAACCTTGCCCATAACTTTTGAGTGGGTGGGGCTATGGCTTTCATATTTCACAGGTGTATTCCTTGTGACAAGACCTTTCTTCTGGTACCACCAAATTTGACATCGTGACCTTGACCTTGGAGTTTGACCTATTTTTACAAAAAATTTCTTAACTTTAACCATAGCCATAACATTTGATTAGTTGGTGCTAGGATACTCATACTTAAGATGTGAATTCATTGTGTCAAGACCTTTCATTTGGTATTTAAATATTTACCTTTTGACCTTGACCTTATAGTTTGGCCACTAAAAAAAAAATAAAACTTTTGAACCGTTAAAACTAGAGTATCTATACTTCGCAGGTGTATTCTATGAGACAAGACCTTCCTTTGAATGTCAAAAAATTTGACCTTGGCCTTGGAAATTGGTCCACTTTTAAGAAACTTTAACCCTGACCACAACTTTTAAATTGTTAGTACTAGGGCTTTCATATTTCAAAGGTGTATTCCTTGTGATAAGACCTTCCTTTGGTACCAACAATTTTGACCTTTTCACCTTGACCTTGGAGTTTAACTTGCATTTGAGAAACTTTAACCCTTGCCATAAGTTGTCATATGGGGGCATATCACAAACACATCTTGTTTGTTTTTACAGTGATACTATAAGCTTTTTACTCATTAAAGTACCATAGTATATGACTTTTGACCTATAAATATAATTAAAATAGGTTATAATTTTTAAAATGCATTGTGTGCAAATAATGCTCACTAGAGAGATGCTATATACTGCACATTACTAATGTTAAATCTTCTATTGTCCCTAGCAGACTTGGGTCATGGTGCCAGAGGACACATGTTTGGAGTGGTATGAGTCCTTGTAATCTCAAAGAAACAATGGTATGCGTAATTCCTGCAATAGGGTGGGCTCAGTACAATAAGTGCATTGGAAAAGCAAGTGGAAAAAACATTAAGGTAATTAGGTGTTAACACATGGAGTGGCAAGTTCATCAGCCCATTAGGGTTACACATATAAACCAAGAATACCTTCTCTTTGATACTCTAAATACATGTTCTTATTAGTAGTATCTTTGGCAAAACAACCTTAAACATTTCAAACAATTCATCCTTTCTGTGTGTTAATTGTACAAGAGTTTGGACACCTGACATCAAATTCTGCCATTTATCTATCTGGATATTTTACAATCATCTCACAATATGACCCCATCCAGGTGAAATATTTTGCAAAACTGATCATATACATGTACATTGAAATTTGGTCACTATTTTTTTGCTTGTTGCCTGCTAGTAAGTAAAATTATCATCTAGGGAATTTCTCTAAGACTTATTAAACATGAAAACATCCAAGAACAGTGAAAAATATAAAATTCATTGTTTTTAAGGTGAGCTAAATAGACCTGAAAAGATATTGCTGACCTTGCCAGGACTGACTTTTAAA